AGAAATAATTGATTTTTTACATTATTTATTATTTTTAGGAATCTTTCATTTTTTTTAATCAATTTTTATAATTTAATTTATTTATAAGAGTGCACAAAAAGATATTTTCTTATTTATATCTCTTTTTAATTTGAAAGATGAATGTATTATAATTATTGATTATATATTTGAATTTTAATTTGAGGTTATATTAATTCTTTTATTTTTCTTTTTCTATGAGAAATAACTTTTGATAAATGATATTTAGATGATAAAATATTAAATTTTTATTGAGTTTATATTCTTTCAAATAGAAACTAGAAGCATTGAAGTCATCCATTTAAATATATTTGTTCAATAGATTTCAAATAAAGTTAATACAAATATTTTAATATATACAAGTTCAACTTATTATAAGAAAGAATATAAATTAATTAATAAAAAAAAAGAAATTCATATCTAGTAGAGAGAAATCAAACACAAAAAATTTCAATTCATTTCATCAAAATGAATTTTTGCTATGAAATCTTCTTCTTCAATTGGAACTGCTTCTATTCCTTGATCTGTTTCATACATTTCTAATTCATTTGGAATTTCGTTGAATAATTTTTCTATTTCTTCTAATTTCATAATGACTTTATTCTCAATTCTTTCAATTGGAATTTTAATTGTTGATTCTCCTCGAGTAATGATTATTTGATATTGGTCTTCTTCTTTATTAACTTCTCCTTTCATTTGTAATTCTAAAGAACATTGTGCTTTAGAACAATTCTCAAAGAAATCATTTGAATTCATTTCTCCTTTCCTTTTCTTTGGAGTTACTCTTAATAATTGAATATGAGTTTTTACATCATCGACTAAAGAACCTTCTAGTATGTTTGTACTTTTTGCAATAATATCATATTCTCCTAGTTCTGAAAAGGCTTCACCTCTTAAAAATGATTTTTCAATAATATGAAATGTATTTTCTTTTCTTGTACCTTCAAATCTTGTTTGACAATTATGTAAACTAAACCATGTAATAATCCCTTTTACATTTTTATCGTCTTCTATCCACATTTGGAATGTATATTCTTCATTACTTTCAGAATATGTGATTTTTCCTTCAAATACACTTCCTTTCAAATCAAAAATTTCTTCTTTTTGACTTTGACTATCTTCTTCATTCTGTTCATTACTATATGTTCCATCTTCAGTATTTTCTGAATTATACTCATCATCATATTCTTCTCCATCATCTTCACTACTTTGAATGATAGTGATTTTAGTATCATTTGGAGTGTAATGGTATTTGTTTTTAAATCCATTTTCATCTTTCTCAAACTCAGCCACCATCTCATCCACATGAGTAATCCATTTTTGTGTGATTTCGTGTGTGTTGACTTTGACTTTTCCATCAAAACAATCAGAAATCCACTGCGTTTCATATATCTTTGTTCCATTCTTTTTGCAATGTTGAACTATCTCTTTAATTTCTTTATTGAATTGTTCACTGTAATTCATTACTATTTCATCAGCAATGAGGTAGTCATTTGTGATAGTTGCCCCAAGAGACTCAGCTTCAAGACGACAACGTGATTTAGAATATTCTCTTTCTCCATAAAAAAAAATAGTGTCATGAATTAATGTGTCAATAGCTGCATTTTTAACAAGTCGAACACGTTGGGGATTATCTTTCCGGTGTTGTAGTGCACACAGTCCAGTGATATCCTTTGGAAGTTCACCAAACAACCTATAAATTTCTTTAAGATCACTTGTTTCAACATACCTTTCATCATCAACATCAATACGAAAATTATTTCCTGCTTTATCTAGGATGTCGTTTTGTGCTTTTCCGTAATCAACCCAATTAGTATCATCATACCACTTCCACATGTTAAAATAAAGGTTGTTTTGAAGATCTCATTTCTTCTTTTTCTTCATTTTGAGATTAAGAGAGTGGTGTATATAACAAAATATGAGACATACAAGAATTTTATTACTTCAATGAACAAGCAATAAAGATATATATATGTCAAGTTATAGGTTTCTGTAATAACTTCATACCTCTTCAAGTAAGAAGGGATTGGGAAACCACTAATATTACATTTCTATTCTATTGTAATATAATACTGTTGACTTTGGAATAGGATTATGGGAGTAATTATCTAAAAATGAAAGACAAAACAAAAAACAATAAAAATAAAAAAAGTGGAAAAGAATTAATCACTTTCCTGATTTGATATAAATTAATTTCATCTTTTCAAGATTTTAATTTGTTTATTCATTATATATCATGTCAGACCCATTAATGGTAACTTTGTCAGGGATTAGAGGTATTGCACAGAAATCTCTATCAGAGGCTGTGATTATTAAATATGTTAAAGCATTTGTCACAGTTCAAATTAAAGAATATACAAAGAATTCATTGTTTATTCTTGGGAGAGACTCACGTATGAGTGGTCCATGGGCAGAAAAAATAGTTATTAAAGCATTAGAAGAGTGTGGATGTAAAGTACTTAATTGTGGGATTGTCCCAACACCAACTGTACAGGTAATGGTTCAACAACACCAAGCATGTGGAGGAGTAATTATTACATCAAGTCATAATCCTAAACCATGGAATGGATTAAAGTTTGTTGATAGTGATGGATTATTTATTGTACCAAAGAAATGTGTTAAAGTGTTTACATTAGCTGATGAAGGAACTTTTATTCAACAAGAAGGTGGAACAACTCAAACACTTCCAACAGCAATAGATGAACATCTTAATAAAATTTTATCATTACCTTACATAGATGTTGAAGCAATAAAAAAACAACATTTTAAAGTTGCAGTAGACTCAGTTTGTGGTGCTGGAGGACCAATAATGACTGAATTATTAACAAGACTTGGATGTGAAATAATACCTCTTAACATTAAACCAACAGGAGATTTTCCACATATTCCAGAACCACTTCCAGAAAACTTAACAGATTTATGTC